TCTAGGAGTTCTTAGGGGGTGGTCTACCCTGTGGCTCAGCTTGCAGTTGGCCTACTCAGAGCTGCTTTGTCTCTCTCTCATAAGGAACCAGCTGTTTGAGGGTCCCTCCCTGTGCCAGGTGTCTCTGGTTAGCCCATTTAGCAAGCCTGCAGCCAGGGTTCAAGTCTCCTGCAGGCAGTTCCTTCACTCTCTCTGCTTTCTCACCCCCCACATTGGGAAAGATGTGGACAAACCAGAGAGAGTCCAGAGGAGAGCCACAAAAATGATCAAAGGTTCAGAAAACCTGACCAGTGAGGAAAAGTGGACAGAGGGGGTGGGGACCTGATAACAGTCTTCAAATAAGTTAAGGGCTGTTGTATAGCGGACAGTGATCAATTGTTCTCCATGTCCACTGAAGATAGGACAAGAAGCAATGGGCTTAACCTGTAGCAAGGAAGATTTAGGTTAGACATTAGGAAAAACTTTTTAATGTTAAGGGTAGTTAAGCTCTGGAATAGGCTTCCAGGGGAGGTTGTGAAATCCCCATCATTGGAGGCTTCTAAGAACAGGTTAGGCAAACACCTGTCAGGGATGGTCTAGGTTTACTTGGTCCTGCCTCAGTGCAGGGGAGTGGACTTTATGACATCTCAAGGTCTCTTCCAGGCCTCCACAGCTATGATTCTGAGGACAGCAGAGGACTGGGACCTGAATGACTTGCCCCCAATCACACAGGGAGGTTGGAGAAGGGGTGTGAATCGGACTCATATTTTCAGCATCCTCGCCTAGGGCTGTAACCACAAGACCAGCCTTCCTTAAGAAGCTGTTTTGATTGTTCAGAACTTAAAGGGATCAGTAATGAGACTCATCCTGGAAAATAGCTTCCCTTTGTAGGAATGTTAGCTCCTAATCTGCTCTGCCCTGGACACCATAGTGTCTAGAGCTCAGAAATTGCCCATAGTGACTTAGAGGAATCCTGGGAACTTCTCAGGGAATCCAGAACTATGGGTCATCTTGTTACCCCTCTGCCTTAGCAAAAGAGAGCCCTACCTGGGCTACACTGTGTGTCACTTCCCTGATGCTCACAATCAGTTAACCACTCAAACAATGGCCTCCAAAGCTCTGCCAGTCTTTACTTTGCCCGGCAGGTAACCTTTGGTGCCCTCCACTTCCCAAGCCCCCCAGAAGAACGTTCCACTGCAAACAACAATCAGAGATCTAAGCTGACAGGTAAATCAACATTCCTTTGTCTGGGAAAAAATTGCTTATCGACCCTGCCTGGTTACATAGTAATTAAACATATTTTTAGTATGTACATACAACTTCTTGCATAACAGCTGTACATACATCTCCCAATGCTTATGATAACCAGTATGATCTAAGCTTTTATTTGATGCCTTACCTGCCATTCTTTATAAATAAATATGATGACAGCAATGTGTTAGGTGCGGTGAGTTTGTGAGGCCTGATAGGCGTTGTTGTTATATGACAGTGAACCCTTTGGCAGCTGGCATTTAGGAGTTCACAAGATCACGGTGAGGTGGAGTCACAGTCACAATATTATAAACTTCAGACCAGCTAAGATCGTCTTCATTCAGGGAACCACGTCAAGGAGATGGCAGCTGCGGTACTTACTAGCGCCGGTGTCTCTTGTGGCGCCGCTGGGGATGGGGATTTCCCGCGGAAAGGTGGCAGAAGCAGCTGCAGGGAGGGAATTGGCCAACACCGCCCCCGCTGCAAACCAGGAGTGATCGATCGGGGACACTCGGCCATGCACCGTGTACAGAGCAGGACTCTGATCTCCGCACGTAGGGGGAAATCCAGTACCCTCCCTCTGTTGGAGTTCACATCCTGGGGTGCAGTGGGGTCACTGTGGTCCTCCTGCAGGGGCAGAGTATGGGAGGTCGTGCTGCGTGCAACTCCGCTGCGTGCTATGGTGTCTCCAGCCCACGGGGAGGGTTCAAGGAGCATTGGAACTGGGAGATTTACCACTGTGTGTACCCACCTACTGCTGCCTGTCCCCAGGGAGTGGGGGTGCAAAAGCTACTGCAGACCCTGGGTGCAACTGCTGCCTGTGAGTGGGACTTCTCTCCCCTCACCTTAGCACACAGGCCAAGTCATTGCCCCGTAGCTCAGTGACTTCACTGGGAGCTTTGCCTCCGTGAGGGCGGCAGGACTGTCTGAGATTCAATTTCCGTGGCTCATTACGCAAACAGCTGTTGTTTCAGTTGTGCCGTGAGAAACTGGCCAGCCCCTGATGCCAGAACGTACCATCCTGTGCAATAGTTATAAGAAGATGGCTGGGCAAAACAGGCGGGTGGAGAGGGGTTTCTTTCGCAGCTGCACAGTATGCACCAAGTCCCCGTTGAGGGTTTGCAGGCCCTTCGCTCCTTTGCTTGGGCGGCTGAGAATTCTCCTGCCCTGGCACACCGAAGGCGGAGGTTGTAGAGTCCTTGGGACGGTCTGTCAAGGCTTTTGGAAGAACCAAAGAGCCTTTCTCCCAGCGCATGAGTCCGGGAGTTTCGTGAGCACTGTGCGTGGACACACTCCCGCGCATTGCAGACGTGATCAGTAAGGCTCATAGCGACTGAATGAATCAGTGCCTTGGTTTAAGGAGCTCTCAGTAACATGGGGGTATAATGGGTGACTGTTCAAAGGTCTGTTAGGTTATTGCTAATGCTCATGGCCACCTGGGAGACAGACCCATCTTGTAGCTGTAGGGAAAGTGACATTTGCATCTGTGCAGGTAGTGGGCGGTCATTCTTCCATTTACACCCATGGCTCAGACTGGGAAGTGAATGTTTCCAAACAAGAATTTAAGGTCAAGCGCTTGTTCCTAAAGCACAGGCATTGGAATCAAGAAATCTGGGTTTTATTTTTGCCTCTGCTCCTGACTCACCGTGTGCTCTTGGGTAAGTCACTTACAACCACATTTTTGAACGTGTTCACTGACTTGGGGTTCATGAGTTCTTGGATGTTCAGTCTGAGAAACTCTGGGCCTGCTGACCTCCTGCAGCTCTCACAGGACTTCAATACACTCCTGTTCCATCTTTATCTAAAGCCCGCGGGCCGTATGCCGCTCTCTGTTTCATCCACAATGAACTCAGATCTGTTACAAGGGAGTAGCTACGAGTGGGTTTTGTCCTCAATTCTATTAAGCAATCAAATGTTGACGGTCCCATAAGTGGGCACTTGAGACCAGCCTCCGGATGTTCTGTGGCCTCATCTAAATTATAAAGATGACCAGATGCTGACATGGAATGCCCCACAGCCCCCTCAACCAGTATTAACATAGTTTAGCTGCTATTTCATTAAGACAAAACAAAGCCATATATGAGGCAAAATAATTGTCAAGATGATCACAAGAAGCGTGATTGAGAACCTCTCAGCCACCTCTCTTCAGACACTCTGAGGTCTGGTGCTTTGAGAAGTGTGTATGCAGGGGAGTTTCAGAACTCCTGGTTGTGGTCACATTTCTCCTCCTAATTCACTGTGACCTTGGACAAGTCACTCTGCCTCTCTGAGCCTCAGTTTCCCCATCTGTAGAAGACATATATAATAATTCCTACCTTTCTGAGGTGTTGAGAGACTTGTTTGTGTTAATTGCTTGTTGTAAAGTGCTTTGAGTTCAGTGAATGAAAGTGCATGACATTATATTTCTTCTAGCAGACAAAGGAGCCATCCTCCTTTTCCATGTGATGAGAATGCGATTGCTTGGACTTTGATCTAGGCCAGGGCCAAAATTGGAACCTTTAATACTAATCTTTTGAAAACCCAGATTCCCAAGCCAAACCCAATTCTAGGGTCCTGGAATGAGTTCAAAACTGGGACGAGATTATTTTCCCAGCTATCAGTTCTGATGCAGAAACCTGGCAGGAACAGTCAGTCCAGGGGTGCTGGAACAATGTGTCTAGTGCGGGTACTGAGAGACATTGAACCAAACGGTAAACCCTGCATGTGATGGAAACCACTTCAAGCCAGGGGGTCGGGAGCACCCCCAGCCCCCCTAGCTCCAGCACTCATGAGTCAGTCTCACAAGTGTCTAGCCCAAGCTAGTGGGAGTCTCACAAAAACAGCTCATCTGGCTAGACTTATCTAGGGAGTCTGTGACATCTCCACCACTGGAGGTTTTTAAGAACAGACTACACAAACATCTGTCAGGGATGGTCTAGATATGTATTAATCCTGCCTCAGCACAATGAGATGGACTAAGTGATCCCGTGAGGTCTCTTTCAGTGCTAATGTCTATGATTCTATGATTTGGGATCAAAATCTGCCAAGAACAACTGATGAGATTTCAACACCTTTGAATGCAGACCCAGACCCTGACCCTCATTTAGTCTCGGACCCAAAACCCGCCAACCCCAGCTTCGTCTGGATCCCAAAACCTCATCTCATCTCAGCTCTGGTTTAAATGAATCAAGGTCCAAGCCCAAAAATAAACATTAAAAAAGTAGGAACTTACAGCGTCTTCGCTCAACCAAGTCCAGTAAAGATTTCTATATACTTATTTATTATTTGAGTGGATTCTTAGCATGATAGTAAATATATAATGGGTCATAAAATAGATTCATGGTAAAGACGTGGAGGAAAATATTCCAAAGAGTTGAAACATCACATCGGAAAAATCTGGGAGAAATCAAACTACTGAATTATCTCTCCCAATTCTGTCCCAGCTCAGGTCTTGATAAAAACGTGTAACACAAAGAAGCAAACATTTCCTTTGATTCGTTCAATTTTAATGAGTGCAGGTTCCTAGAAAGCAAACAGTACATATTGTTGTGATATTGCTAAGACGCTATTACAGAGATCTAAAAAATAAAGAAAATAAATATCTTCTCTTTGTCTCCATGGTTATAGCACTAGGTCAACTTGAAAACAACAGGAATTTATCACTGTGTTTGCACAGTTGGTATAAAACCAAAGAGATTTTTTTTTAAATGGCAATTGTCTATATGTTTTCATAGAAATCAGAGTGTCAGGAGAACCAGCTTTGAATATCTTCCCCGTCCGCTACAGGAAACAGTTTCCAAGTCAGGCAACCATTGCTCTTCGAATGTCTCTGTTGGGCGAGTTCAGCAGATCAGGAACTATATCTCGGACTCAGAAAGACTGTAGGGAGAAAAAGAAATCATGCGTTTGTCTTAGGTCTGACTGATATGTCTCAGTTGTGCCAGTGCTCAGATATGTTGACCTGGGCAAATCACTTCCCTTAACCATATCTCAGTTTCCACCATTGTAATATGGGGATAATGATACTTAGTCTTTGTAAAGTGCTTTGAGATCCTCTAAGAAATGGCAGTGTATACGGGCTATGGATCAGCTATGGATTTAAATGGGATCAGAATTTGATTTACATTTATTACAGACTTGCTTGCTTGTTATAAATTATCATGTATACAAACCAAAACCCCAGATCCAAGTACTCCCAAATATCAGGCTGCTCTAAATTTGACCCCCTTGATTGTGGCTTGGACGGATCTGTAATATACATACACACAAATCTCACCCTCCCACTGAAACATACTCGCAGAGAAGAAACAGAATTACAACCTTAGCACACACATGTAAATTCTGCCCTTAGTTACATCCAAGCCAATTGCAGTGAAATGAATGGGATAGCACAGGTGCAGTTAAAGGCTGAAGCGACCTCTGTTTGTACTTTTCAGGCTTGTAACTTTAAACCTCTTAATCAAACCTGGCGAATAAAAAACTAGGGCTCCCCAAATTATTTTTAGGGAAGGGTGGAAGGCAAATTGGCAGAGCACTTCGGGAACAAATTCTACACCCACCAAACTCTCACAGACTTCAGAGGGAGTCTCCAGGGAAGACAGAGTTAGATCCCACCATAACTGTGAGGCATCCGAAGAAGTGGGCTGTAGTCCACGAAAGCTTATGCTCTAATAAATTTGTTAGTCTCTAAGGTGCCACAAGTACTCCTGTTCTTCTTTTTTGTGAGGAAAAGGTGTTTAATATTTGAAAGCAACCCCCCTGCCCATGCAGATAGATTGAGTGTTGCTTTGGTGTTACTATAGTCCGAGTTAAAAGCTGGGCTTTAAGGGGAGGGAATGAACGGAGGGGTAGAAATTTAGATCCACGTTCTCAAATGGCTGTGGCTCCTTTGAAGTCCACGGAGCTCCTCTGTTTCACACTAGCTAAGGGGCTGGCCGTTCAAATGGGGTGGGACTGCTGCACTTTGAGAATCAATGAGAGATGCACTCTTGGAATCGGCTGAGCCTATAGTGCAGAACGTACCTAGTTCATTTCTATGCTTTTAAAATGAAGCACAAACCTTTTCAAATGTAAATAGCTAAGTGGTGAGAGAAACAGGATTATGAACCAGATGTTGCCAGGTTAAGCCGCCAAACTGACGTTCAGAAACCTACATCCGCCGCACATAGTGTGTCATGCAAAGCAAGTACTGGGGTTATTTTTAAAGGGTAACAAAGACCCTAATGAACTTGGTTAAATAACGTCCATCAGCTGCCAAAGGAACACATTAGCTGGAGATGGGAAAGCCTGTGTAGGTAATGGGATCCACACCCCTGTTTGGACAAGCACCTTAATTTACTTTACTGTTTGACTGCAACTTCTGTGCATACAGTCCAACATTTCAGCAACAGCAGACAGACGGGCTTTGGCTTTTTGCATTCGCTTTAGTGAAGCATCAAGTGGTACCAAAACCCACCATCTCTTGAGTAACAGAGGGGTAGCCGTGTTAGTCTGAATCTGTAAAAAGCAACCGAGAGTCCTGTGGCACCTTTAAGACTAACAGAAGTATTGGGAGCATAAGCTTTCGTGGGTAAGAACCTCACTTCTTCAGATGGAGATTTCCATTACTTGCATCTGAAGAAGTGAGGTTCTTACCCACGAAAGCTTTATGCTCCCAATACTTCTGTTAGTCTTAAAGGTGCCACAGGACTCTCTGTTGCTTTAAGTGGTTACGTAGACCAGCCCTTAGATATTAATTACAATACAGAAAGAGGTCATGATTAGGCTTAGGATTAGAGAACATTTGACATTCCTGATATT